TGGTAATTTAGTGAGGCAGCACCTCTCTTTAGCAGAGAAGGCTAAGATTCTTGTTAAATTGCAGCTTCCCTGATTTTATAGCATTGAGCAATGGCAGTTTAAAGTGATGTGTAATTGCATTACTTCTACAGTGTGGATGTACACCGACCAAGAGGACAGGAGGAGGAGCTTTGTTAGGCCACAAGGTTTACCCTAATTCAGAACCAATGAGTAAAACACCTTACTAGCCCATAATGCCCTAGTGCAGTGTTTCTCAACCTTCCTAATGCTGCAACCCCTTAATATAGTTCCTCATGTTGTGGTGACCCCCAACCAGAAAATTATTTTTGTTGCTACTTCATAATAGTAATTTTGCTACTGTTACGAATCATAATGTAAATATCCTATATGCATGATGTATTTTCATTCACTGGACCAAATTTGGCACAAATACATGATACACTCAATAGAAATACTGGTAGGGTGAGTGGGGATTGTTTTTTTCATTTGGAAGTTGTAGTTGCTGGTATTTATAGTTTGTTTATTTATTTATTTATTTATTTATTTACTTTGCTTGTATACCGCCGTTTCTCAGCCCGTAGGCGACTCAACGCAGTTCACAACAAGAGCAAAAAATCAATCGCACAACATACAATATTTAAAACCATTAACAGCCTAATATACAAAATAATGACACATCAATAACAACACATTAACGTCTCATAACTAAAATCGTGATCCAATTCGTCATCCATAATTCCGTTCCTATATTCATCGTTCAATTGCACTATTTATCTGAACGCCTGTTCAAACAGCCAGGTTTTTAGTTTTCTTCGAAACACCATTAACGAAGGGGCTGATCTAATGTCCATGGGAAGGGCGTTCCACAGCCGAGGGGCCACCACAGAGAAGGCCCTGTCCCTCGTCCCCGCTAGCCGTGCTTGCGATGCAGGCGGGATCGAGAGCAGGGCTTCCCCAGAAGATCTTCGAGTCCTGGTGGGTTCATAGGCAGAGATACGTTAACCTAAAATAGTTAACCTAAAATCAAAGAGCATTCTGAACACCAATGATGGAATTGACCCAAACTTGGCACACAGTACTCCCATGACCAACAGAAAATACTGGGAAGGGTTTGGAAGAATCTCCTGATATATAGTAATTGCTATTTTGAAAACTTAAGTTTCATTGTTTTGACAAAATATAGATAAACAATCTTTCATTTATAAACAGTTACTAATTAATCATGTTAATGTTCCCACGTTACATTTAATGAAGAATTTCTTGTAATATAGAAATTGTGATTTGCAATCTGCAGTTTTTGTATTTATTTATTGGGGATTTATAGTTAACCTAAAATCAAAGAGCATTCTGAACAGCAACGATGGAATTTAACCAAACTTGGCACACAGAACTCCCATGACCAAGAGAAAATACTGGGTCTGGTAGGCATTGACTTGAGTTTGGGAGTTGTAGTTCACCTATATCCAGAGAGAACTGTGGACTCAAAGAAATATGGATCTGGACCAAACTTTCCATGAATACTCAATATGGCCAAATGTGAACACTGGTGGAGCTTGGGGAAAATAGACCTTGACATTTTGGAGTTGTAGTTGCTACAATCAAAGAGCCCCTTGAAATCCATCAAGGATAGAATTGAGCCAAACTTCCCACACAGAACCCCCATAAAAAACAGAAAATACTGTGTTTTCTGATGGTCTTTGGTGACCCCTCTGACACCCATTCCAGACCCCCCCAAGGGGTCCTGACCCCCAGGTTGAGAAACACTGCTCTAGTGGAATAAAAATAGTAAGTTACCAGCCCCACAGTTGCTTCCTGGGTTTCCTGGAATATTTGAAAAAGTGCTTACTATCCATTGACTGGTCTTGCAACCCCAGTTTCATATCGCGGAGGGAGAATTCACATTCTGCGTTCTAAATACATGTGTAAATACAGGTATGTTCTCCTTTTCAAACATACCTAGCAATTTAGTATCATGAAACAGATGACAACTAAATTTACTTTGTGTATGTGTGCACACGCCAAATGTCTTGTCATTGTTTGTGAGCACAGCTGCTTTGGGCAAGTGGAATTTTTTAATTATTGATCTTTTGCGTGAGACCAGTTGTGACCTTAGTGATGTTCTGGGGTTATAGCCGCAATGATTTTTCACAATTAATGGTGCTGGCTAGAACAGATGGAAGTTATAGGGGGAAAACATCTGGAGGGATATGGTTGTCTGCCTTTGAATTAGAGTACACCGTGTTCCTGGGAGATAATGTTCCATGACAGCTTGGCATTCAGTCTGATTTGGGTACCATGTAGATTGTAAAGCTGTGGATCAGTGGCTGATAAATAACTTAAATTGTACAATACCTGGATTTGTTCAGAAGGCAAACAAACCCCTTAAACTAATTGCCTCTGTTCATTCAAATACTGTTATTTTCACCTATCCAAGTGTGCTATAGAATAATTTTTTAATCTCTTCTGCAAATATAAAAGTGTGCAATAAAGGCTTAGCAGTTGCCGAGGCTTTTTCTAGCGTGCACTGGGCAGAGTGCTGGGTGGAGAGAGGGCATGTCTGTTTGATCTCACACATATGTGTTGTTTGTTCTGTTGGATGCGGACAGGTTGTTTACTGGACATCGTATTGAGGGATTTAATGAGTTTCCTTTGAAAATTTGAGATGAAAGGTGGAGGAGACAGAGATTCATCAGGTTCCGATTGGAAAATGTGGTTTCTTGGGGAAATGCAATGAAACAACAAAGTCAACATCCATCTGTTGGGCTGAACTGTTTCAAACATGTAAGATTAGTTGGTAAAACCACAGAAAGAGGTTTTAAAAATAGATAGAACATCCATCGTATTCGGACAGACAAGCATATACTAACACCGTACTTACTTAAGCGATGCCCCGTATCCTGAGGATGATGGTCCTCCAAGTGTCGTGCCTTGGTGGTGGGTCTCTAGGTACCTGTGAAGCCCTATTCTTAATCCACATGTTCTCCTGCAGTGAGGGCATCAGTTTCCAGGTGGAAGTCGGTTCTGGTCAGGGTTGGCTTGATGCGCCTTACTCTTGGCACGTTTCTCCCTTTTGCACTCCATTCGTGCCTCTTTGAATTCTGCAGCACTTCTGGTCACAGCTGATCTCCACTTAGAGTGTTCAAGGGCCAGGGCTTTCCTGTTCTTGGTGTCTATGCCACAGTTTTTAAGGTTGGCTTTAAGCCCATTTTTAAATCTCTTTTCCTGTCCACCATCATTACATTTCCTGACTTGAATTGGGAGTATAATAACTGCTTTGGGAAATGATGATTGGGCATTAGGATAATGTGGCCAATTCAGTGGAGTTGATTATATAGGATGCTGACATCCTATATGCTGTCATTTAGCTGACATTTGTCCACCTCTCCCCCCAAGAGATTTGCAGGATTTTTCAGGGGCAACGCTGATGGAATCTTTCCAGGAGTTGAGTGTGACATCTGTAGACAGTCCACGTTTCGCAGACATATAGCAGGGTTGGGAGGACAGTAGCTTTATAAACAAGCACCTTGGTCTCCCTATGGATGTCCTGGTCCTCATACTCTCTCTGCTTCATTTGGAAAAATGCTGCACTCGCAGAGCTCAGGCAGTGTTGTATTTCAGTGTCAACACCGTGTAACAAAATTTGAAACACTGTATGTTCCTTGTTTGAAGTGTTCAGTACTTACTTTGAAAGTAGATGTTATACTCCAGAAACTTTGTTTTTGTGGCTGCCACAAACTATGTTGATGGTTGAGACTCAAAAGAGGTATTCATTGAAAAACTATAGCAAAATGTGCTGCAAGGTGTCCATGCAGTTTAATAAACCTTTTTAATGGTTTTATAATAGAACAAATTAGAAAATGAGATATGTAACCCAAGAACAAAAATCATGTTACATAGTGTAATTGGCAGCCTAGATATGAAAGACACAGTTGAGTCAAAACCCACGGAGAAGACATGAAAGAGAAGGTGCCATAAATTCTGGGCCCAAATAGTTGGGATTTCTGCTCTTGGGTGAGGTGACCATTGAAGGATTTGGGCAAGTATAACGAGAAAGGCAGGGCCAGGTTTAATTATTCATGCTCCCTTGGAGATGAGAGACAGAGGTTTAATTTTACCATTGGCTTCACCTTAAGACCTAATAGCGATTTGGAAGTTGAGAGACAATGTCTCGGCCTTTTAATTTTACTAACCAACCTGATCACCAAAGAGCAGTTTCATTCACCAAACAATTATTGTACCTTTGAATTCAGTCATCACCAGGATAGTCAGTGCCAAAATTTTGGAGGTTTTCACTTAAAAAATGAATATGCATCTCAAAATGGTGATATCTTACTTAAAGCAATATTTGAGATTGTCTTCCCCATCTTCTGACTTTTCCCACTTTTTTTCCAAACAACATGTGTTTGTGTCATTTGATGTCATTTGCTTTACTTTACTTATTATGAGATCAGGCATTTTCAGAGTTTCCACTATGGAAGCTGCTAGAAATCATATTTCTAGATCTCAGGGAGTATCATAACCAAACTTATATCTCTAAGAAAGTACAGTGATCTTGTGAGCTCTTGGAAAAACGATACTAGGGTGTCTTGTGTTTGTTTATGTTTATTTGATTTTGTTTTATTGATTTGTTATTGTTTACCATGTTTACCTGTGTCATATTAATTATCTGGATTATTTATTATGTACTTTTAGCATCAAATGGCTGCCATTTTGGTTGTGAGCCGTCTTGAGTCCCCAGAGGGGAGATGGAATGATGGAATGAGATACAAATAAATTATTATTATTATTATTATTATTATTATTATTTAAACCCAAACTGCCAAATTGGAAATCCAATTTCCATTTTGATTCCAGAATGCTTGTAATGGGAAACTGGTATTGCTCCTAGCTTAGCAAGGAAGAGGCATTTCTTGATCGATTTAGATTGGTCACTGAATTGGGAGCAGGATCTTTCCAAGTGTTGTGGGGTCCTCTCATCTGGTCTCTTTTTGTCATTGCAGGCCCTGATGCTTGAAAACCTCCAGAAGCATTCAACCCCCCACACCACCTTCCAACCCAATTCCCAGGTGAAAGCTTCATTTGATTCTTTGGGAAACATAGTCAAGACTCCACGAAAAATATTTGATAAATGTGTACTTAGATTCATTCCTGTCCTCCATCTGGGGCTTGACATCAGGAACCCTCAAGTTCCCCTCTCCTAGCTTCCTTTCTGGAAGAATATTTAAACTCCTAGAGAGAGCCAGCTCCCTATTTTAGTAGCTAGACTTGCAGATTTCTTTGTGGGATTAAAACCCTGGTTGTTACTCCTCTGAGACCCACTTTTCTCTCTAATGTCCTGTTAGATTGGGGAGGAGATGAGCCAAAACAGCTTCATCAAACAGTACCTGGAAAAACAGCAGGAGTTGCTGAGGCAGCGTCTGGAGCGAGAGGCACGAGAAGCTGCAGACCAAGAGAGTGAGTTCTGTTATTGTGTGTGTGTTCCTTCTCTCTTTTTCTTTCTCTCTCCTGCTCTTCCTCATAAGACTTCAGGGAAGTTTGTCTTTTGGAACCAAAGAATTAAGTCACATTCCAGGATGCTGGCTTGGCGGTAATCTGGGAGTTGTACTCAAGGAGCGATTTTTTTTCAAACTGTGGTTCTATTTGTGTGGCCTTTGCTTCTATAACTCAAGTGCTAGCAATAACAGCTCACCTCTGACAAAAGACAAGACAATTCTGTAGCCCAAAGTATTTATTTTATACTGAGGTTTGTGTCATTTTCTATGGGGAAAATTGTACCAATGTTCCATCCTCTTAATATAAGTTATTGTGGAGGATTGAAAATCATGTGTAGTTCATGTTTTTACAGTCTACATATTGTCTTCTCAGAGAGAAAAATATGCCACGCAGATTATCAGTAAAGAACAATAAGTTTATTCTTTGAAATGCAGAGCAACATATGTATATATACAGTCATGTGAACAGTTGCATTGACTTACACAATATCTTTTGAGAGAGATTCAAGTGGACATTAGGTGTCCATGTGAAAGGTCTTCTTCCAGCAGCCCAGAAGCAAAACCAGTCTTGGTAAGCTCCTTAACAGAAAACTAAATATGTAACTGTTGCCAATCTCCCAGGCTCAGCTAGCTTCTAGGGCGTAGCCCAACTGATCAACTTTGTGCTTTCCATTTTCAGTTAACACGCTCACCAGTGATTTTTAAATGCTCCAACAAATTTGTCCATTCAACCAGTGGCAAAGAAAAACTGTGAGGATCCAGATAATGCTAATGATTTGGGGAAATCGGTTTTTTAAAAAATGTGTTCATTTCAGATTTAAATGAATTAGGCAAAAACAAACCTATATTGAAATGATAAGCAGAAAGATGGAGTAATGGATGTGCTGTTTTTGTCAGCTAATGCTGGCCTTTTCACCATTCTGGTTTTATTACAGGTTTTTTTGGCTGTTTGTACTCTATCACTTTTATTGACTGCAGTAAGTTGGCTTGAGGTTGTTTTGAGTCAAAAGGCAGGGTATAAATTCCACAAGAAAACAAATAAATGTCTAGCTCAGAAGAGAAAGTAGATGGTCAGGCAGATAAAACAAGTGCTTACTCTAAAAATAAAATAATAATAGAACAAGCTCCACAGGAATGTTGAGTCAAAGATTATCTAGAGCTTTCTGGCTGCTGAATTCTGCACCAGTCCTCCAGAGATGTATGTGGAAAAACTTTGATCAAATCCAATTATTTCGTGGTGTCAGTTTGTCACAACCATGAAATAATGAAGGATGGATTATTAGACCATAGAGTTTAGACGAGGTATTGTGAAAATTCCCTTCACTAATTAGGAGGATGCATGGGTCGTGATAAAAGACGGAAACAGCTGAATGCCTTTGAAGCAATCCTCATTATTTCTGCTGTAATTATTTATCAAGAGTCCAGCAGGCCTGGTGACTGTATGTTACAGGTTCTGCTGAGTGAAATAGGCTTTTATGAATTCTTAAGTCATGAATAACAAAGAAGAATATTGTAAGTTTGGCTGGAAGAACATCATTTGCTGGGAGATTTTGGAAGATTTTTTTCTATAAGGATAATTTCCTTAAGCTTTAGTTTGAATGCAGATGTGTAACCCCGCAGTTGTTATTGGTGTTAATTTTATCCTTCCACCTTTTCATGGCGAGTTTTCTTTTCTGGGCTGTCTCCGTCTTCTCCCCTTCTTTCCCTGCTCCTTGCTCCATGTTTTGTCAGTTCCTTTAGTCACCCGGTTGGTTTTATATTCGGCTTTCCTCTCTTAAAACAAACCACTGTGGGTCTTGTTTTAAGAGGGGTAAGCAGAATGTAAATATTATTATCATTGCAATAGTAACAATTTTCCGCTGGTCGTTCCGTGCCCTTCGGTCACCCAGTTGGTTTTATATGCGGCTTTCCTCTCTTAAAAACGAGCCACTTCGTGTCTTGTCTTAAGAGAAGCCAGCAGGATATAAATATTATTATTATTATTATTATTATTATTATTATTATTGCAATAGTAATGGTTTTCCACTGGTTGTTCTGGGCCCTTCGGTCATCTAGTTGGTTTTATATGTGGCTTGCTTCTTGTAAAAACGAGCTACTTAGGGTCTCGTCTTAAGAGAGGCAAATGAGATATAAATATTATTATTGTCATTGCAATGATTTTCCATTGGTAGGGAAACAGGTGGCATTGGTGGGTACAGTCTTAGAAAAGAAGGGAACGAGAAGAGGAAGATTCATCCTAAAGGCAACATTTTTGGAGTAGAGGATGTACAGATCTTTGGGGGGTTGTTTTGAGGGGTACCTATAGTTCATAATATACCAGACGCTTTAGTACAGGCATGGACAAACTTTGTCCCTTTGGGTGTTTTGGTCTTAAGCTTCCACCATTCCTAACAGCCTTAGGCCCCTTCCTTTTCTCCCTCAGCCCTCTGGCTGTTTGGGACTTCATTTCCCACCATTCCTAACAGCTTCAGGCCCCATTCACAAGACATGGGCAAACTTGGGCCTTCCAGGTGTTTTGGACTTCAACTCCCACAATTCCTAACAGCCTCAGGCCCCTTCCTTTCCCCCCTCAGCCGCTTAAGCGGCTGAGGGGGGAAAGGAAAGGGCCTGAGGCTGTTAGGAATTGTGGGAGTTGAAGTCCAAAACACCTGGAGGGCCAAAGTTTACCCATACCTGAGCTAGAACCATTCTTCTTTATTACTGAGGAAGATATCAATGTGAACATTTTGAGAATCTGAGCTCAAAATCACTTTGCTGCTTCTCAGAAAGAGGTGTAATTCTTTTTCAGCATATGGATGCTGTCTACTTGAATTCCAAGCCAAGAGAGAGAAGGCGCCCCAAATGGGCAGGCACATTTGCATCTTTCCTATTACTCCTCTTTTTAGTTCAGAACACGTATCTTCCCTCTGTCCTTCTGCTCAATTTCTCTGTTGGCTGGGAAAGGGGAGGCTCTTTCATAAAACACCCAGAAGGCCTTCCAGATGCTATGCTGCTCTGAACGGGGCTTAAGATGTGACCCTGTTAACTCTTGGTATCCATCCCCATATGTGCTGATCTCTGTGGTTTTGTGAAGATCAAAGCTTGGGTAAAAAATGTACCCCAGCTTTCCGTGACCCAGTTGGGCGTAACTTCCAGAATCTCTCAGGCAGCTGTGCTTCTGTCCATCATCCTTGTTGTCCCTGGACAACTTAGATGCAGACAGATCAAAGACAAATCTGGATCAGGTTGTCTCACACACACACTATCTTGCCCAAGAAGAAGATACACACTGGAGAGGAGGAATCTGCAGCAGTTTGGAGTTCAGCCATCTTCTCTCTCCATTCTTTCTTGTCACACACTGTCTTGTCAGATAAAAAATATGCCACATAGATTATGGGTAAAGAGTAAGAATTTTACACCTATCAGGCCAACATCTATATAAATACAAATGTAATGTTCATTTGTGGGATTAACATAACTCAAAAACCACTGGGTGAATTGACACCAAATTTGGACACAAGACACCTATCAGGCCAACAAGTGACCACCACTCATAAAAACACTGAAAAACACAGCAGAAGAGACTTAAAAAGCCAAAAATACATTATATATTAGTATATATGCACAAAACCACATATATACAAATACACACACACACACACACGTATATATACGCAAAACACATATACACAGACTGGGCCACAGCAACACGTGGCAGGGGATGGCTAGTATGTATATATACAATCATGTGAAAAATTGCACTCACTCACACAGTGTCCTTTGAGAGAGATTCAAAAGGTCCTTAGGTGTCCATGAGAAAAGTCTTCTTCCAGTAGCCCAGAAGCAAAACCAGCCTTGGTAAGCTCCTTAACAAAAAACTAAATATGTAACTGTTGCCGAATCTCTCAGGCTCAGCTAGCTTCTAGGGCATAGCCCAACCAATCAGCTTCGTGCTTTACATTTTCAGTTAATCCACTCACCAGCTGATTTTTACATACTCCCAACAGATTTGTCCATTCACCCAGTGGCAAAGAAAGACTCTGGGGATCCAGATAATGCTAATGATTTGATAGTGAAGTGAGTGAGCAAGGGTAATGCCAAAACGTCTATGGCAGGATTGTTTGCTTCAGGCCTTATTCCTCTATCTGGTTTTTTCATAGACTGCCTGTGTACTATAAAATGATACTTGTCCATGCATTGTTCCCCGTCTTCCCAAGTTTCCCTTGCAAGCGACCTGCTGCTGTATCTATCAGGAAAATTATGTCCGGCGCCCCGTCTGATGGCTGTCCCATTCCTTTGCTAGGCAAAAGCTGCATCACGTCACGGGAAAGGGAGGAGTCTGATGAAGAACAACCCAGGAGACCAGAGCAACATCCTTCCCGGGTTAGGCAGGTAAATTACAACAACAGGAGTTGAAAATAAGGCAGTGGAGGACTGGATATGCGGGCTTTGCCCCACTCACTGTAGGGGTGTTTGGTCAACCTTTTAGAGAAGACTATATGATCCATTCTTCCCTTTAGGCAAGAGCTGTCAAGCCCCCTCCACCGAGCAGTGAAGAACGGGAAACATCTCTTAGGAGTCGACGGGCCATCCAGCGGGCATCCATAAAAGATGAAGAGGAGGAGGAAGAAGAAGAGGAGGAGGAGGAAGAGGAGGAGGAGGAAGAAGAAGACGAGGATGCTGTCCCCTTGCTGCCAAAACTGTTGCTTCCGGCCGAGCCGGTAGGGTCAGCTCCCTTGGAAGAATCTTCACCGCCTGTCACTGTAGAAACCCCGCAAAAGGAGGTTGCAGCCAAGAGTCCAGACACTCAAGGCTGTGGAGCAGCTACCCCTCTTCTCTCCCCCACAAAGGGGCCTGCTAAGGAGGAGATGAGACCCCCTGAGGAGGAGATGGGACCTCCTGAGGAGGAGAAGGGGCCTTCTAAGGAAGAGGTGGTGCCTGTTGAGGAGGAAATGAGGCCTGTTGAGGAGGAGATGAAGCCTGCTGAGGAGGAGATGAGGCCTGCTAAGGAGGAGATGGGGCCTGTTGAGGAGGAGATGAGGCCTGCTAAGGAGGAGATGGGGCCTGCTGAGGAGAAGATGGAGCCCACAGTGCCAGCAGACAGGGAAGAGCAGCAGGAAGCAGTCATGGAAGAACCACAGGAGGAGAAAGGGGAATGTGGGGTCCCAGGCCCTCAGGAAAAGGAGCCAGTCGAGGTTGTGGAATCAGAGGCCGCAGCCCAGTTACCAGAAGCCTTAAAGGAGAGAGCGGATGAAGACGTGGAGTGTCAGGAGCAGCAAGGAGTGCCTAGCCCCCATGGGACTCCCGAGATGCAGGCAGCAGATCTAAATGAGGCCAGCCCTGCTCCTCTGCAGCCCCACCAAGCGATGGAAGAGCCAGAGAGAGATGAAGACCAAGAGGAAGCAGCGGAAACACTCAGGAGCCTGGAGGAAGCAGCAACGGCAGCAGCTGCAGCCCTGACCCAGGCATCCCCCTCGCCCCCACAGTTAACCGAAGCACAGCAGGCCCAACAAGACCACGGGGGAGACGAGCCCCCTCTGCCCCTCTTGACAAAGGAAGCCTCAGCTGAGCCCAGTCCTGCTGAAGATGAGGCCCCTCCGCCGCTCTCCTGCCCCTCTCCCCCCTCTCAGGAACCTCCGGGCAGAGTCAGTCCTGACATCCCCGAGGACAAGCCCAGCCACTTGCCATCTCCCTTGCCTCTCCCCCAGCACCAACAGGAACGGCCCGAGGGCTCCAGCTCATCCCGCTCCTCTTCTTCCTCAGCATCCAGTTCCTCCAGGTCCCGATCTCACTCCCGGGGAAGCTCGCAACCCCGGTCCCGCGCCAGAAGGCCCCGCTCTGGCTCTTCAGAGTCGCCTGCAAGGAAGCGACGGGCTTCCGGCTCTCCATCTCGTTCCGGCTCTGAGCGGCACAGCAGTTCATCCTCCAGGTCTCGCTCTAGGTCCCGTTCACGATCACGCTCCAGCAGCAGGAGCAGCAGAAAGGTGAGTGGAGTTCTGGCTTGCCTGACTCTTCCGGGGTCGCTCTAGGTGGCTGCTGCCGACAAGCAAGAGCACTTTTTCATCTTGTCAAGATCCTTGTATTGGGTTCTTCGGGAACAGTCCAAGTCCCCAAGCAGCCTATACTTGTGCAGATGTTTTCCCAGGCAGGGAGAAAGGGAATAATAATAATAATAATAATAATAATAATAATAATAATAATAATAGTAATAATAATAATAATAGTCGTCTCTGGCACAAGCCAGTAAAAGTGGTCCCAGTGGTGATTGGCAAACTGGGTGCAGTGCCTAAAGACCTTGGCCTGCACTTAAACACAATGGGCGCTGACAAAATGACCATCTGTCAGCTGCAAAACGCCACCCTACTTGGATCTGCACACATTATTCACTGATACATCACACAGTCCTAGACCCTTGAGAAGTGTCTGACGTGTGATCCAATACAACAGCCAGCATAGTGATCTTGTTTGCTGTGAACTCATCTTGTTGTGTTTCAAATAATAATAATAATAATAATAATAATAATAATAATAATAATAATAATAATAGTGGTCCTAGTGATGATTGGCACACTGGGTGCAGTGCCTAAAGACCTTGGCCTGCACTTAAACACAATGGGCGCTGACAAAATTACCGTCTGTCAGCCGCAAAAGGCCACCCTACTTGGATCTGCACACATTATTCGCCAATACATCACACAGTCCTAGATACTTGAGAAGTGTCTGACATGTGATCCAATACAAAAGCCAGCATAGTGATCTTGTTTGCTGTGTACTAATCTTGATGTGTTTCAAATAATAATAACTTTATTTGTAACCCGCCCTGTCTACCTGAGAAGACTCAGGACAGTTTCCAACAGAAGAATGGCAAACATTGAATGCCAAAGATGAACAGTAATCAATAAACAACCAAACTAAAACCAATTAACAAAAAATATAAGAACTTATAACATCAAAACAAGATATTCGAATGGTTATATAGAATGTAATCAATGCAAATCAATCAAACTTCATCCATCCCTCACTTTATTTATATCCCACCTTTCTCCCAGACCGGGAATCATTTCATCTCCTCATTGAGGGTGGTTTGCTGCCTCCTTGCTCTATATTTCCAACATTTGTTCTTTGTGGTGTCACCATTGTAGCAGCAGTTCATCCCAGGTCCTTCCCTGACTTGGATAGAAAATGCATTCAAGTAGAGTTCAGAAGAAACCACCGCTAGTAGCTGCCAAGGCTCTGCTGCCCCTTTGCCTGAACTCCAGCATCCTTGTTTGAAGCTGCAGCAGCAGCAGGGGGTGGAAAGAATTCCTTGCCCCCGGCAAGCTCCACCTTCAAAGCAAACAGGCGTTGCCAGCTCAGGGCAAATCAAACTTAGGACGCTCGTGACGAATGCTGCTGGGCCTCAGAGGCCCCCACTTGCCTCTGGCTAAACTTTTCAACCTATGGTATGTGAAAGGGAACACTTCCCTTGAGCAGCATTAAAAAAATAAGCATCCCACGGGTTGTATTAAAAAAAGAAATAGCTGGGAAAAAGAACTGGAGGAGGAGGTGGAAGAAGAAATCATTTTAAGGCAATTCTCACAGAATCACTCTTGTTATGCTTTCTGTAGCAAAAAAAAAAATATTAGCAATTTTTTGTAGAGGGTTGTCATTGCCTTCCTCTGAAGCTGAGAGAGTGTGAATTGCCTAAATTCACCAACTGGATTTTCATGCAGTTCTTGTGGGTTTTTTCGGGCTATATGGCCATGTTCTAGAGGCATTTCTCCTGACGTTTCGCCTGCATCTATGGCAAGCATCCTCAGAGGTGAGGTCCTCACCTCTGAGGATGCTTGCCATAGATGCAGGCGAAACGTCAGGAGAAATGCCTCTAGAACATGGCCATATAGCCCGAAAAAACCCACAAGAACTGAGTGATTCCAGCCATGAAAGCCTTCTACAATACATTGGATTTTCATGGCTCATTGGGAATTTGTACCCCAGTTTTCCAGAGTCTTATAGTAAACCACTATACCACTTTTGGAGTGCTTTTTCAAAAGCTACTGTTTTCTCTTGGCATTAAGTCTACTTGTGTCCAACTCTGGGGGATGGTGCTCATTTCAGTTTCTAAGCCAAAGAGCCGGCGTTGTCCATAGACACCTCCAAGTTCATGTGGCTGGCATGACCTTCCCGCTGAAGCGGTAGCTATTGATCTACTCACATTTGCATATTTTTGAACTGCTTGGTTGGCAGAAGCTGGGACTAACAACAGGAGCTCACCCCGCTCCCCGGATTCAAACCACCTACCTTTGGTCAGCAAGTTCAACATCTCAGCAGTTTAACCCACTGTGCCACCATTCATTCCTATAATTGTCCCCCAAAATCCTCAAGCTAGATCATACTAAAGTAGTCAGAGCTGCCTTGAAAGAGAAGCAGTCTTGATAAATGATAAATAGGTTATGTCAACTGCAGCGGGTGAGCACAACTCAAGTGGCGCATTCCATCTTGTTGAGAGAATTAAGCGGTGGGAGGGGGGGGATACCTCTTTAAGGATTGTGCCCAGTCTTAACATATCAGTAAATCTTTTAAAAACAAACAAAATGCACACATCCGTTTGGAGTCCTATCTTGTACACACGCTTATGTAGATATCATCTGATTGACAAACACACATTCTTAAATGGGTGTTGTTTTTAGAGATATGGTGCCATCTCAGGGTGAATCTGCATTGTAGAATCAATGTAGTTTGACACCACCTTAACTTCCATGTCTCAGTGCTATGCGATCTTGAGATGTTTCTAGTTTGGTGAGACACTGGCAGGTTTTGTCAGAAGGCTACAGACCTTTTAAAAACATAGTTCCCATGATCCCATAGTACTTAAAAGTGCAGCCAAACTGCATTAATTTGACACTGTAGATCAGGCATGGGCAAACTTTGGCCCTCCAGGTGTTTTGGACTGCAACTTAAGCGGCTGAGGGGGGAAAGGAAGGGGTCTGAGGCTATTAGGAATTGGGGGAGTTGCAGTCCAAAATCCCTGTAGGGCCCAAGTTGGCCCATACCTGCTTTAGATCCAACCTATATTAATGAACTAAAATAAAAAAGAAGAAATTAGTCAAAATTGGAAGTTGGAAGGAACAAATAAAGGAGAAGAGCAGCATTAAGGAAATCCTAGGCAAATCAAATATATATATATTTATTTATTTATTTGACTTGTATACCGCCACTCCCAATTTGGCTCGGAGCGGTTTACAGCAGTAGATTAAAACAATACAACCAACTTTAAAATACAATAAAATGAGTACCGACATAGTCCCGAGTTATTCACCCATCGAAAGCTTGTTGGAAAAAAAAGGTCTTACGGATACAAACAAAGGAACTATGGGAGGAAGAATTGGGAATAAAAATAGGAGGAAAAGGAATTGGGAAAAATTATAGAGAGCAAGACACCTCAAGAATTTATCAATTAGGATAAAAGAAAACTACAAGATGGTATGGAAATGGTACCTGACCCGACAAAGATACACAATATGGATAAGGGTTGTTCAGAAAAATGTTGGCGGGGTTACCAAGAAAGGGGTACATATGTCCACATGTGGTGGCAAAGCAAATATGTACAGAGGTTCTGGGGAAAGGTTATAGAAGAAATAGAAAATATTATGAAGAAAAAATTAATATAAATCCAGCAACTATACTGTTATCTATTTATAATACAGATGAATGGAAGCAAAATGAAAAGAATCTGATAACGATGTTGTTAACGGCTGCAAGACAAAATATTGGAAAGGAGAGGTGGAAATTAAGATAGAAGAATGGTACAAGGAAATTTGGAAATTAGCAATCTATATAAACAAAATATAATGTTCATTTGTGGGATTAACAGAACTCAAAAACCAGTGGACAAATTGACACCAAATTTGGACACAAGACACCTAACAACCCAATGTATGTCCTTCACTAAAAAGAAACTGATTTTGTCATTTGGGAGTTGTAGTTGCTGGGATTTATAGTTCACCTACAATCAAAGAGCATTCTGAACCCCACCAACAATGGAATTGAACCAAACTTGGCACACAGAATTCCCATGACCAACAGAAAATACTGGAAGGGTTTGGTGGGCAGTGTCCTTTGGTTTTGGAGTTGTAGTTCACCTACATCCAGAGAGTACTGTGGATTCAAACAATGATGACCAGACTCTACACAAATACTCAGTATGCCCAAATGTGAACACTGGTGGAGTTTGGGGAAGATAGAATCTTGACATTTGGGAGTTGTAGTTGCTGGGATTTATAGTTCAACTACAATCACAGAGCATTCTGAACCCCACCAATAATAGCATTGGGCCAAACCTTCCACACAGTACCCCCATGACCACCAGAGTGGGCCACAGCAATGTGTGGCAGGGGACGGCTAGTAAATGATAAATTAACATGCAATCTAAAGGTCAAAAAAGGCCTAAGGAAGGATAATGATTTTGAAAATATTTGGAAAATATTTATTGAAGAAACATTAAGGAAAGAAGATGGGAGCCTACCTCCACCAGAAGAAATGAGGTTTTGGCAGGAGCGTAAAGAAAATAAGAACTCCGGAGATGGGGAGCACAAGGGGTCGCACAACTGGGGAAAGGAGAAGAAGTAATTTTATGAATTATAGAGATGGTTTTTTTAATGAAATGAATATAAATGCAATAAAATTATTTTAAAAAATAAAATAAATGTATGTTGCTGGTATCCCCAGTTCCTTCTCCCACCCTTATTGGTCTTCCTCAAGCAGATAAACCAGCTCTGTCTGTGTCATTAAGATTCTTTCTTTCCCATTCCAGTCTCGCAGCCCTGGAGCATCAAGGGACAGTTCCAGCTACCCTCACACCAAAGAGCCCTCTCCAGTGGGGGAAACCCTCTCACACCGCAGCCCTCAGGCCCAGCCAGACATGCCATCAAGCTGCCAGGAAGAGGAAAAAGCAGCCATTCATTCCCCACCTTCGGACCTTCCGAAGCATCTCAGCCACATCCCACAGAAGCAGGAGCACCAAGACATGGAGTTGGAGAGCACAGTTCCTGACCGAGTACGGAGCCGAGGGGACGGAAATGGGGAATGGTTTTCTCTTTCGGGGTGCCTTCTTCCCTTTAGTTCATCTTTGGAGGAGGTGGAAGTTAGAGTGGAAGACAAAGGAGCTTACTTTGAACTACAACTCCCTAAATCCCCCAGCCTGCTTGGCCAGTAGGGGATTCTGAGAGTTGTAATTCCTCCAGACCATTTCCAAAGCTCTTAGTAGTGGTTGAGGGAGATTTTGAGACCCTGGCTGTTGGCCTCTTCCTGCTAAACTAGGCCTTTCCTTCCACAGGGCAGTCCAGAACCTCCCTCTCCTATGGAGGCTTCTGGCCTAGACAGCGAGGTCCCAGCCTGGGAGCCCCAGCATCCACCTGAGCAGCAGCACAGCGAAAGGTAAGTATCGAGAGCCAAGTGATGTGGGCGGTGTGTGTGTGTGAAAGACTAACAGGTCTCAATGTCACACACCACAGTTGAAAGAGACCCCAAGGATCATCCAATCTAATCCCTGCCATTCAGGAAAATACAGGGTGCAGCAGCATAACTTTCTTTTTTAAAATGCGCGCCATTCAGTCGGTTGAAGACGTAGCGGAGCGCTAGTGGTCTCGTTCGAGAGGCGGAAGTATAAAGTTTTGTCCTGACACAGTTCAGTCGCCATCATGCGTTGGAACAGTGAGGAGCATGCTTTTTCCGTTGAGGCCTATTTTTCGAGCGGATTTGGAGTGGCCAGTCCGCTCTCCAGATTTGGCCCCGTGTGATTTTTTTCTATGGGGTTTTTTGAAATCCTGTGTTTATGTGAACTGTCCAAGGACCCTACAAGATTTGAAGACCAACATCCAGGAAGAAATTGCCACCGTAACGCCTCCTATGCTGGCAAGAGTCATGACAAACGCCAGAAATCGGTTTACTCAGTGTATGGAGAATGTGGGACGTCACCTACCTAATGTGATCTTCAAAACTTCATAAAACAAAACTTTAGGTATGCACCTACATTATATTTTTTTTCTGGGTTGTTGTAGGTTTTTTTTGGGCTATATGACCATGACCTCACTACCTCTGAGGATGCTTGCCATAGATGCAGGCGAAACGTCAGGAGAAATGCCTCTAGAACATGGCCATATAGCCCGAAAAAACCTACAACAACCCAGTGATTCCGGCCATGAAAGCTTTTGAGATTTTTTTTTCTGATTCATACAATGGGTTTTACTAAGTTTTGAAAAGAGAAAGTTCTGCTGCTGCACCCTGTGCAATGAAAACACCACGCGCTCCCCTCCGATAAAAGGCCATCCAGCATGATTCATCTTCCCGAGAATGAGAATCCACTGGATTCCAAGGCAGCATATTCCACTCTCTACTAGCTCTTATCATACGGAAGGTCTTCCTAGTGTTTAGGTGGAATCTCTTTTCCTGCAATTTGAATCCGTTGCTTAGTTTCTTAATCTTTGGAGCAGCAGAACATATATTTGTCCCCCTGCCTCCCTCTTCAGTGTGACATTTCAGATATTGAAACATGGCTATCATATCCTCTCTCAGCCTATTTTTCTCCAAGCTAAACATTCCAGATCCCTAAGCCACTCCTCATAGCACTTAGCTTCCAAACCTTTGGTCATTTTGGTCGTCCTCTGGATATGTTCCAGCTTGTCGATACCTTCTTATGAACCAGAAGCTTGTTGAGCAGGTGAAGGTCAATTCCAGACTCAGACAACACTTAGGAATTCAGTAGCGCCGCAGGGCTCAACTTGCAACCTCAAAATTGACCCAGTATTGAGCCTCAGATCACCATGTAAGATGATATCTAAGGTAGTGGTTCTCAACCTTCTAAATGCCGCAACCCCTTAAAACAGTTCCTCGTGTTGTGGTGACCCCCCCAGCCATACAATTATTTTTGTTGCTACTTCATAACTGTCATTTTGCTACTGTTATGAATCTGATATGCAGGATGTATTTTCATTCACTGGACCAAATTTGGCACAAATACCTGCTATGTCCAAATCTGGTGGGTTTGCGGGGGAGCGTTGATTTTGTCATTTGGGAGCTGTAGTTGCTAGGATTTATAGTTAACCTACAATCGAGCATTCTGAACTCCACCACCGATGGAATTGACCCAAACTTGGCACACAGAACACTCATGACCAACAGAAAATACTGGGAAGGGTTTGGTAGGCATTGGCCTTGAGTTTTGGAGTTGTAGTTCACCTACATCCAGAGAGCACTGTGGATTCAAACAATGATGGATCTGCACCAAACTTGGCACAAATACTCAATATGCCCACATGTGAACACTGGTGGAGTTTGGGGGAAAATAGACTTGACATTTGCAAGTTTTAGTTGCTGGGATTTATAGTTCACCAACATTCAGAGAGCATTCTGAACCACACCAATGATAGAATTGGGCCAAATTGCTCACACAGAACACCCATGACCAACAACAAATACTGTGGTGGTCTTTGGCGACCCCTCTGACACCCCAGGTTAATAAACGCTGTTTTGAGGAAATGCTTAAGTTAGCTGAAATGCTCTCTTGCATATGCAAGCAACTGGCACCATATCGGTGTCGATGTGTTTCTTTCGTGGTTACTTCTGCAGACTATAAAACCATAGAGTTTGAGGAGACCCCAAGGGCCATCCAGTCCAATCCCAATCTACCATGCCAAAGATGCACTATCCAAGCACTCATGACCAATCCCTATCTAATCTATGTTTAAAAATCTCCAGACAGCAGCATATCCCACTGTCAGATACCTCTTATCGGGAAAGAGCCGGTCTACAGCTTCCCATTTTAAGCAGCACAGTCCTAAGGCACTGTGAAAGAACTCCTGGGATTAAGGAGGGGTGATTTTTCAGATAAATTTAAGCTCCTGTATTACTTGATTTAGAAATTAAGGACTGATGTCACTGCATGTTATCCCTTAAATCAGGTCAGGGTGTTGTTTTTTCCCCCTAACCAGCACCTGATCCCTTTAATGTAATCAGAGAAGGCCTTTCTCCATTTCTGCTGTCACATCCAGTATCCCAAAATAATTCCGTTCTGCTGAAGGCATCATATTATTACTCTTATTGGCCAGTTCTTTTTATACCGCACCAGATAATTGACTGTGTTATGGGTGGGAGTAGCTGGATAAGCAGCTTTGTTTTACACATAGTCCTTCAGGACCTTCATGAGGAGACCCAGCTATCACAAAGGGATTCCAAAGGGCAAAAGCAGGCTTGCCCTTCATCTCCCCATCCTGATACAGTTCATTTGGCCAAACTGTGTTGTTATGTGTCTTCAAGTAATTTCAAACTTACAGTGATCCCAAAGGATTTTTTGGTAGAATGTGTTCAGAGAAAGTTTGCATTTGCCTTCCTCTGAGATTGAGAGAATGCGACTTGCCCAAGGTAACCCAGTAGGAGTCCCCAATAGCGCAGAGGGTTAAACCCTTGTGCCAGCATGACTGAAGACCGACAGGTCAGAGGTCCGAATCTGGGGAGAGTGTGGATGAGCTCTCTCTGTCAGCTCCAGCTCCCCATGCGGGGACATGAGAGAAGCCTCCCACAAAGATTGTAAAACATCAAAACATCGGGGTATCCCCTAGGCAACGTCCTTACAGACGGCCAATCATCTCACAGCAGAAGCGACTTGCAGTTTCTCAAGTCGCTCCTGACACGGTCTCTCAAACCCAGCACTATTATGCCATGTTGATTCTCTCCAACGCGGTGCTCACCCAGTGATTGGTATTTTTTTACATGCTAAAAGATGTGCCTTTGCCCTAAGTTTGCCCATGCCTGATCTACAGGGACCTGGTTTAACACTCTCAAACCACCCGTATTCCATTTCAAAATACTGGTAGTTCTTTTCCACAGGGATAATTTGAGAGGAGAAGGAATGGCTTCAGGGAAGAGCCTTTTGGTGGATGAGAGCCAAGCTGCCCCCTTTTTAGAACCTGGCCAGCAATGACCCAGAATCCTTAAATGGCAGCTTGGGTTTGGCCTGGTTGCAGAGAAAGTTATTCCTGTTTGTTTTGTTTTGTTTTGCACCAAGGTGGGCAGGAGAATGGGGCCGGAGGCGTGGCTAAAGATGGAGGCACATCAAGATGGTGCATGTCCTGGGGTCGTGGCAGGGGGTTGAGGCAAAGAGACAATAAAGATGTGGGGAGATAAAGGTTGGCCGGTGGCTGCCTGGAACCTAGTGGGCCAGGGCCAAGCGGAAGAAATGATGGCCTGGCTCCTCTTGGACTTAGTTTGGTGGTGGGGAAAGCTGTCCATGTTGGATCTGCGCCTGTCTCAAGAGCCAAAATGGGGGCAAAGCACTGGAGAGCCAGGGGACCGGAAGAAAGAATGGACCAGAGGGGTGGCTGCTTGGGGTGTACTATATTTTCAAGTTATGTTAATCCCACAAATGAACGTTACATTTTTATTTATATACTAGCTGTACCCGTTGCTGTGGCCAACCTTCCCTCCCTCTTTCTCTCCTTCCTTCTTTCCCTTTTTTCTTTCATTCTTTCTTTCCTTCTCTTCTTCTCCCTTTCCCCCCCCCCTTTTCTTTCCCTTCCTCTTTCTCCTCTACCTTTTCTTGGACTGCAACTCCCAGCAGTCCTCTTGATCCATCTATTTACCTACATACCTATCTCTAATCTATCTATCTTATCTATCTGGAGGATTGCTGGGAGTTGCAGTCCAGGAATAGAAAATTGGAAATATGAAGGGATCGGTATGCTATCAAAGAAATCCAAGGAGAAGGAAGCTTGCATCTTGGAAGCAGTGCATTTGGATCATCCTCCTCTCCTAAAGAGCCTGGTCTAGGGGATGCTGGGAGCTGTAGTCCGGAAGAGAGTGTGGACATGCTATTGTGTATTTTGTTTGCCGGGGGAATCGTTTTGCGCATGCGCTGTAGCATCTTTTTACTTTTTTGAATTTTAAGTCTCTTCTGCTGTGTATATTTGTGTATATGTGTGTGTCTGTATATATATGGGTTTTGTGCATGCATTGTAATGCATTTTTTGGGGTTTTTTGGCTTTTTAAGTCCCTTCTGCTATGTTTTTCAGTGTTTTTATGAGTGATGGTAACTCGTTGGCCTGATAGGTATATTATGTCCATATTTGATGTCAATTTGTCCAGTGGTTTTTGAGTTATGTTAATCCCACAAACTAACATTACATTTTTCTTTATATAAATTCAACCCTTTTAACTTGGCCCAGCCCGCTATGCACATTTTTATTATTTCATTTCCTGTGTTTGATTTTGTATTAATTTGCTTTGTTTATTTTTCATTTGATGTTATTATTCGCTGTGTGTATTTTATTTTTGATTTGTTGTGAGTGTCAGGCTTGGCCTCGTGTTAGCTGCCCCTGAGGCCCTGTTGGGGAGATGGTGGTGGGGTATAAATAAAGTTTTATTATTATTTTAAACACAACAGG